TTTCCTCTCCCGCAGACTCATCTGTTTGTTATTAACTATTAGTCTTGTTACATATTATTAGATACCAGTCTTTTTCTTTTTCTTCGCGTTTAAATTTCGGTTGCAATCTAGTTAACGGTCACTTCTGAAGATGTATGTTGTACATACGAAACGTCAGGGAAATTAATTTTGTTTAACATGCGTTTTGGTTCCATGTTTATCACCGCGGTTTGTGTTTTGTTTCTTCTAAAGCTACGATGGCCAAGGAAAAAGAGTGTTTGAGTAAGGTAATCGAGTTCGACTGCATAAGAACAAAATCAATTATTACACTTCTCAATTTTTCCTCCACCCATACCCAATATAGGGTTTTACGTTTCTACGAAGTCTCTATATTTTTGATTGTTTTGTTGTTCTGGTGGTGGGGGTTGTTGTTGTTTACAGGTAGTGCCATCTTAAGGTACGAGAAGGCATGCACTGAATAGAAAAATGAAGAAACTGATCGCTGGGTCCTGAACAACTCTAGGGTAAAGAATAAAGATTGATATTTTAGTAGAAGCATAGAAAAGAACCAGACCAAGCACAAACTTGTAAGGGAAGATTAACAATACAGCAAAAGTAGAACGGCTAAAGCATTAACACGATAACACTACAACCAGACTCCAAAGGAGAATAATGACATAGTAAGGAAACAAACACAATTTCATTAAAGCTTGCCCAGTGAGAGGGTCAATGGAGCAGAACATCACAGAGTGAAACATCTCGATGGCATTACAAGAAAAATCTCCGTGACACAGTCTTTATCGTCAAAACGCGAAAGCGAGACCAGGGGAGGGTGCCATGCAGTCTCTCTTCTGAAAATTCCTGGGTGATGGAAACCATGGCAAATCGAAACACGAATGTGTAAGGTCTTGCGACCACGACCTACGCCACGTTAGAAAAACCTGGCAAGAGGTCGCTAGACGCGCACGCTATTGCTCTGGATGGCCCGGGAACTTCGTCAGTGGATACCCATGTTTGTACACGGCAAAGGGCCAAAAAAGTAAGAGATGGAACATGATACAAGTGGAACAAGTCAACGGGCAACAATCAGTTTTTTAATAATCCTTAAGGTATTATGGTAAAAGGGCAGTGCAGCAAGGGTGCTAGAATTGAAAACATCATGCAAACATGCAATAATACTGTGCAATGATAAGAAAAAATAAAGAAAATTAAATTGTGATATTTTTAGCAACGGGGTGTGGCAATTACAGGCTGCTCAGATTTTGTTGATAAATCTTACTGCACTGCACGCAAACACATAGCCTCAAAGACTTTGTTGACATTACATGTGTGTTCAATGGTCAGGTCTCTAAATGTCTCATTTGAGATTGTGCCAAGTTTAAGCTACTTTGTTGACAAATAATGTGCGCATTAACATGATGGATCTGATAACGCTATTTTTAGAATAAAATGATCTTTCATACAGCAGTCAGTTAGTCTACGACCGTCTACATTAAGCTACATTTGTTGCATAACCGAACAAGGGCTTGTACTTTTATTCTTGTTGAAGCTAAGTAGGATACTTACAAGTCAGTTTCAATCAGAGAGCAATATTCTTTCACTGGCCGAAAGTATTCGAACTTCCGAGTGTAACATATATTAAACAAAGTTCACGAATAACTACTGCGTTTCCACTGTCCTATCAAAATGAAATATGAAAAGAAACGGATTTGTGATCAATGAAGGGCTTAGTCAACGAAGTATGATCTGCGTAGTTCTTGTTTTTGCAGGCAAGAGAAGGCCACACAAACAACACACCACGCAAGGCTATTTACCCTGAAGCTCCCTCAATCATCTGAGAGCAAATATCGGCTCATTATTCTACTCTCTCAACGATAATTAGTTGATATAAAATTTTGAAAACAGGGGAATGACTGATAGGTGAAAACTGTGTTTACTGCAGCAAGTGAGGGTCAGCTACAGCACTTTGGAAGCTACAGTGTAGAATTACGAGGGATAAAAGTGTAAATAATCCAGGTGGACACGCCCATACAAAAACGACCTCTTGGAATTATAAACAAGAGGGATTGCAGATGAAGTAAATGTACTAAGTAATAAATACGATTGTAAGAAACAAGTATGAAACCAGGGATAGGAATACAAGGAGATTTGGCGATGTAAAGATCGGCTCCTTAGACTGTCCCTAAAAGAACTTCAAAATTGTTAGGAAAGTATTTCAAGTGAACCGTCTGTAATTACTAGAATATTGACAAGGCATTTGATCGGATTTCCGCTAAGGCAGCCATCCAGAAGACGCAAGCCATTTTTATCTTGATGAAAGCATGCAGTTTTCTCGGACTCTAGCCAGCCAGACTTAGAATTCTGAACACCGTCTGAATAAGTTCTTATTTGACGTGGACTGAATTAGGGAAAAATTTGAGAATACGAAAGTGTGACATAATAGGCTGATTAGCGAAGTAAACAATAGATGTTTTGCTCTTACATGGAATGTGATTTTTCTAATTGAAATATTTTTATTTATAGCAACGTTTTTGGTCAACGTATCGTCATGATCGTTAATTCGATGATTCAAGCCTTTGTCAGCTTTAAATCGGTAAATCACTGAAAAACGTTCAGAATAAATGAAACGAAAAAGTGTGTTGATAGATCCCTAGTGTCTATGGTATAAGCTTCTTATCTGAGCAGCACCAATACCACCCTAAGTCATGAAATGCAATAATGATTTATCCTAGTTATGAAAAGGCCATGAGCTGCACGCGATCACTAGATCCATTGCAATGAAGAAATCGGATTAGTTTTAGGAACAGTTCTGAAAAGGCGCACTTCACACTATGAATGAGCAATATTGGGATGCTACAGGTGTAAAAGCCGAAGGCTAAAGTGCTAAGTAACATCGCAGCGACTCGGTGAGGCATAGAGCCCACCATAACCTTGAAACCCAAAGACAGGTGACTCCTAAGTCGTGGAAGAGAAAGTTGCGGGAAAACACGCTGTGCGTTTTCTTTGTTGACAACACAGGGAAAACATAATTTGACTTAAAAAGGAAGAAAATTCCAAAAATGGTGTTTAACGGGCAGGGAATCGTATTCTATATTGGCTCAATCTTGAGGGCAATCAATAATCTGTCATCCAATTTTCATCACAAAAATGTACTTCAAAAGCGCTTTCCTTGCGTGTCACTTTCCTCCGCTCTTTACAAACACGATACGGTCTGGGATTGGCGCCAAGGAAATCGACCAAAAACGAGAAAAACAACCCAAGTTGCAATGTTGCATATTTATTCCAACCGCATACGTTTAACGTAAATATGAGAAATTTATAATGGACTGTTGCATTTAACTATCACTTTTACAGACAAGCGGCTAGTTTATAGGCATCACACTCAAATTCTGATAAACGCAATATCGCAACTGACTTGAAACAGAACTTTTCAAAACGCCCAGCTCTTAATAGGCGTGAACAGCTGGCTCTGTAATATATTTACAAAGTACTGAAGCGCGCCCTCAAGGGTTTCCTTGATGAACTCGATCAGTTCGGTCTCAGAGTAAATAGCGGGTCGACAAGTGAAATTCTATACTTTGATCTACAATTAAACAACTGTTGAGTTTTCATCAGGCGGTTGTTTCTGCTACCATTTCCACTAGGAGGTTTTTTGAAATAGTTACACTGATTCAAAAAATAGGTAGAAAGTTACATTCATTGAATACCCTTCAACTTAATTGGTTATTTCCCTGCCCGATAAATCATGGCAGCCATTCCATAAGTTCTCTTTTACTCTGGCTTGAAATCTTTCGAATTCTTTCCATTTGCCGAGTTTTGGCATGGTGTAGCAAGCTTCAGTTTAACGGTTGCTCGTTCCCTGGCCCCGGCGTGCCTCGCGGATTTCTTGGACGAGGTTGCGGGACTGATCCACGTTTTGCGCTCGTAAGTTGGGTTTGATTTATTAGAGACAAGACCGTCATCTTCTCTTTCGATTAAATTTTTCCTTTGAAACTTCTAGAGCGTCCTTTACGGCGATCTCGCCGCCGACCTTCATCCTTAACCACAGCCATCCCACGATTCAGAGCGCGCTCCTCGTGAACCGCGGCGAGATCTTTCTCCAGTTTCTTCAAATTTTCCGCCTGTGTTTCAAATAGTTCATTCTCCTTGATGTCCTCCAGACTAGGAACAAATCTAAACTTGGGGTACTTTCTCCGTTTTCTCCTCCTATGGCGGTTTTCCTTAGGGCTTTGCATCATGCTGAAATCGATAGCTGCCAGATCATCGTTATAATCCCAAGCGGATTTTTGGCCGTATTTAAAATTAAAATCGCAGCCTTTCACCGCGTCCATGTCCCTCATTGTGAGCGGTTGCTCATCGTATTGGAAAGGCACTAATGAATCTTCTTGAAATATGGTTCCTCTTTGACGCATGTTTTAAGCTCTCCTTCTCAAAACTCAGCAAACAAAAGATACTTCACTGTTGAACGGCTCTAACGCAACTGATTAAATAAAATGCGTCGGTTGCCTATTTACTCCAAACAGCGGGGAACCAATATCAAGGCGCTTTATTTCAAGACATTACAGCAACGCCCAGGTACTCGAAAATCGCAGCCACAATATCAATCAAGCTGAATACATTAAGCGAGCCTTACGCAACTCAGAGTTCCGGGGGGGGGACATCTGGGGTTCAAACTCAAATGAAGCCTTTCACATGGTTACTATTTTAGATTGTCCTGGTACTTTTCAGGGTATTAAGACGCAGAGAAAAAAGTGACCGGAGCCTTTTTTCATTTTCTATTTAAAATATGTGCCTTTCTTAATGACATTGTATTGCAGCTTTTCCTACAAAACGAGATTCTGAAGGATCTTAGGGACCCCTCTCTTGAAACGTTCCAACAGTCGCCAACTTCCCCCCTTCATCTTTAGAAAAGGGTCCTTCTGAGCGCTAGAGAAAACTGTTGGCGAAAGTACTTTGTAAACATGTATTGAAACAAAGAAAATAGAAATCTCCATGGAGTAAAAGTGACAAGTATTATACGGAGTTTCCACGAAAGGCCAGTGGAATAATAAGAGATACATCACCCCTGTTTACGTTGATCAGGAAAACAAAGTGCTACAAATTTCTAGAATTCAACCCACGGAAAACATTAGAATTTTCTTTACCAGCCGACTTTAATATTGGTCACCAATGATGCAAGTGATTTGTAATTCAAATATGTTAACCAATGCTACCCATGTAAGATCATGTAAGGATTCTAAATTCTTTACTGACTGAAACTTTCAGTCTAAATATTTTCCTGTATTTTCCGCATTTACTTGTTAATGCTGAGACGTATTTCTGTATTATGACAGCATAACATTTACAGCACCATTTATGGATAACGAAATAACCGGAAAAAAATCCGGTTAACAATATCGCAGAATGTCACGAATTAACTGGCTGTTATTGCTCGTCGTACAAGTCCGGACGTATGACGACGTACGAGTAACTGACGAACTTCGTGTGTTCGGTTCCGAGCATTTGGTCGTTAATCATATTTGAATAATGTTCGTATTTTGCGTAACTGGAATGAAAATGAACTTCGTGTGTTCGGTTCCGAACATTTGGTCGTTAATTATATTTTTGATAATGTTCGTTTTTTACGTAACTTGGACGTAAGCGAACATCCGATGCCATCATTGAATCGCCCGTTAAATCTAGATTCTGGCTTTTTCGATGTACGCGTGCGAAACAATTTTCTCACTGATTCATGCAATCATAACACCGAACGGACTGCGTGTAGTTAGATACTTGCAGGAAAACTGTATGAGTAAATTCACAACAGATTTTCAAGCGGATAGGAACGGAAATTTATCCATTTTAAGGACGGATTCGTTATATTTTGAGATCGTTATTCACGGGAAAAAGTCCGTTCAACTTCTTTCAGAATGCAGTCCCGCAGGGTCTGAGAATTTTCTGATCCTTTTCCTAAGAATTTCGAACTCCTCCCTAACCCCAGTTTTTCACTTCCCGCGGCAGATGCTGTCGTTAGCTGTGTTCACGGTTCATACAAAACTGTGGGCAGGCACATGCCTACACAAACATGATGAAAGCTACGTACCTACACGTATGGGACTCTAACGTTTCATAGATATTCTAACTTTGAAACACGGTTAGTTAAATCATCGTTAAATATCGCCAGATCTCATCTAAGCAACGTGTTTTGATAAGACCTGAGAATATTGAACGGATCCTGTGCCAAATTTTAAAGATGATTTAATTGTTATGATCAAGAACACCTCTATAACGGGAGGAGTAATATAACTTATTTGATAACTCTTCTTCTAGATGGAATTTTTATTCGTACATCACAATATTTTGAACTGAATTAGACGTAGCTGTGAACAGATCAGTTCGCGTATAGTGAACAGCACTGAATTCCGCTCCCGAGCTGTTTCTTTTCCTTATATAAGAGGCTGTGTAGAATCGAGATTATTTTTTTGCTACTCACCTGAATTTTTCCTTTACAGTTTGGATAATCGAAGCTTGTCCAAGTGAACTAGAGAGCCACGTACGCAAGAAAACATGTTGCCAAATACTGTTTCCATGGCACGAAAACAAGGAAACATTTACCACGGAAACCAAGCAATTTTTGACAAAACAATGAAATATTTTAAGCTTTTAGGGAACAAATTCCCTTCCGCAACAACAGTGTCGTGGCAGCGTAAACGGGGAAATGTTGTGAAAAGATGTTCCTGCAGCAATGTGTTTTTGGGGAAGTTAGTTTCGTTATAAAATGTGCCCGTGATCTTCAATGATTTTAATGTTGGAATCTCTCTTACACATCACACATCTGCCACGAGGAAGAAAACTGCGTCCTTTCATTCTGATACGGCGTTAAAAAACATCCTGTGATCGTTTGCAGTCGGTATCTGTTTACTCAATGCCGCCCGCAAAACATATCCAAGCGATATTTAGAAAATCCAAGACATCACGCACAATACAAAGACATGTATTTAATTTAATTTA